AAACAAACATTAATCTTGATCAAACTAATTGGGATGATTCTGTGACATTAAGAAACCTACAAAGTAAATAAAAATGGCTATTTGCTTTGTCCCATGTCTATTATAAACTGAAAATTTACTAATATATGTATTATAAATTAAAGTTGTTATTAGTCTATCAAGAATTTTAAATGGGAATTCATGCTTACAATAATAGCCTTTGATCTTGATTCACAAGTTTCCATGTAATAGTGAGTCAAAATACAATATGATACCAAATTTGGCTAGCATAGTATTTCCAAAAAGCTTTTGAATTTTATTTAGATATTTATTGTAGTAAACTACAAAATATTAGAAGAATTAAATTATTTGTTTGGTAGAACGTGTTAAAAGTGAATCAAATGATTAAAAAAGGATTTGAATTTTACTCTGATCTTTATAAAAATGTTCCAGAATACAAAGTTTTGCAAGGAACCATCGATTGATATTAAAAAGGATGAAGAAAAAGTTTGCAAACTTGAAAATGAAGCTTTAAATTATAGATGATAGCATTAACAAATATTATAGCTGATGAATAACATAAAAGTCTAAAAAATGGCTGTTCACTGTAGCATACCCGCAAAGTGATAGCCAAACCAAAAGAACCAATAAAGTGAACATGTTACATGCTTACATTAGCTGTAAGCAAGATAATTGAGAACAAATTCTCGTTGTCGCTGAATTTGGTTAGCAAATTTATTAATTTAAATAATTTAAGTAGTATATTGCAGCTGAAAAATATAAATTTCATAGTAAAAGTCATCAGAAAATTGTTAATGCCAAAAAATTGGTAATAAATAAGGCTACACAAATTTAATATCTTGGTTTTCATAATATGAAATTTCTGAACGGACCTGGCCGGCGGCTTTTTTTTTTAAATTTCATATATAAAATTTTATAAAATTTTTATAAATTTTTTTTTAAAAAACCCACCCAGTTATTAAAACATATAAAAATTTTTTTTTACAAGTTTTCGTAATTTGACTCAGCAAGATTATAAGAACCAGTTAATTAAATTTGCATGGCCTAAGTTAAAATCTCATAGTCACAAATAGAAAAAATAATTCTACTACCACTATTAATGCTATAGAAAAACTATATAGACTTCTGATAATTTCTACTATTAAATTGAATATTTCATATTTTTGATAATTTTTTAGAAATATATTTCTCTAATAAATCTCGAATTTGAGATTTATATTGTTTGCTTTCATTTTGAATTATATTGAATTATAAGAGTTTACTGCATTAAAATTATTAAGAGTAAGGTTAAACGCATTCAACATTTTTTTTTTATGGTAATTATTAGTGAAGACAAATTATGAGTAATTTTTTTTTAATTAATCTTCGAAAAGGTCATTTTCGTTATGTCAAAACATTAGTGAATAATGTAGTGAAAAATTGTTTATCTTCTAATGCTTAAAAATAAAGTACGCCTTTTTGAATATTGTAGATTTAAATAAAAAAGCATGATATCGATACTTAACTAACTAATCATGTGATTTATTTCAGCATCTATAGATGCTGAAATACTATCGCTATAATGTGTACAGTATTTAATCTGGCTTTTGACTTTAATTTGAGGCGTCGTCAATCAAAACGTACCAAAGTTAGGGACTAGACTCAAGTTAACTCATATCTTAAAAATATAGTATTAACTCGAGTCAACTCGTAGCTTAAAAACATAGTCTTAACTCGAGTCAACTTGTAGCTTAAAAATATAGTTTTAACTCGAGTCAACTCATAACTTAAAAACATAGTCTTAACTTGAGTCAAGGCTATATTTTTTTGTGCAAATGATCTGTCTAATGAGTATTTCAAAAGACTAAAAATAGGCACACAGATTCGATATTAATTGTAGTAGAATTAGAAAATGAGAAAATGATATTCCCTTTATGTTTTATTAATAATTAAATTTATAAGAAAGTGCACAGTACATACATTGAATTTAAATAAAAGATTTAATTAATAAAAAAATCTGAATAATGAATATCAATAAAAAAAATCTGAATAATAAACAATTTGCACAATAGAAACAAAATTAATAATAAAAATTTTGAACTACTGTATATAGTCTTTAAAAGTTCTTACTATTCTAATTCCTTAAGCTTTTATCAGATAACCAATGTTATCTCTTTCTCTTTAATTTTTTTAATAAGTTTAGTAAATTCATTTCTTGTCATAGCTTCTCTGCTATTTTCAGCTTGCTAAAATATGATTTGTTAATGATAAATTAAGTTAGCTTAGTTACAAAAAACTTCAAATTCCTTATTTTTTTTTCTTACTTGATTGTCATTAATGTATTCATGATCAGGCTGGTTCTTATTATTAATTAAAAATTGATCATGTGTGCTAATAGATTGCAAATCAGGCAATAGTCTATTGGTTTCCTTGTTATTTTCAAAGAAGCTATCCTCTATCTGCTATAGTTTGTGATTTATTAATAATTTATAATACTGATAATTAATATTATTGAAATCTTAGATTCTCACTATTGAAATCTCTTACTTTATTTTTTTCCCTCCTTGAGATTTTAAAATAATCATTTATGTGACTACCTTTAGTCCATTGGTCTTCTTCTAAATTTAATGTATCATTTTCATTTGTATGAGTATTAAAGATTAACTCATCGACTTCCGATCATCTATCACTGTCAAGATCCTAAGTTTTTTAAAAGTATCTAATGTTCTGTGTCAATTAAATAATAAATGTGACAGATTAAAAATGAAATCCGATTAAAATGAATATTGCATAGTGTAAAATAGGAAAATATAACTTTTTGGTGATTGTTTTAGGATTATATGTTTGCTTTAGGTAGAATTTATAATATGCAATTAAGTTTTAGAAGATTAGTTAAAAACCTCAAAATTCATTTTAATCCAATTTCATTATGATCTGTAAAAAAATTTTTAATATCGATTATATCTTCAATGATAATAGATTCTTTTTCCATTATATTTGCTAGATCATTGATTATTTTTCGATAAGTTGCTTCAAAAATTAGAACCACTCTAGATACATTTAAATTTTCAATATTCTTAGTGCTATCAGTTAAGAAAAGGTTGCTGAGCACAATGTGTCATTGAAAATAATTTCCTCAACTCCTCCCTTAGTTTGATCAAGATTAATGTTTGTTTTTCTGCACAATTCTATTGCCTTTGTGTTTTTATTCTTAGCTGCCAATAT